TATCTTTAATATAGTTTCTTATTTAAAAATGCTTCACCCCCTGGGAAAAAAGATTTCTAAACATTACACTAGAAAGTCCTAAAAATATTTTTATTGTGCCATAAAGCTTCTTCCGCTGGCGCAATCTCACCTTAACTTGCAGCGTTACATTTTAGAAAAATCGTTTTCAGTCAGTCAGAGATGTCGTATTAATCATTTGAAAAAAAGATGAAATTTCTCAGGACTCGTACTATTTGATATTCGATATTGATCTTACATTGGGAATCGAAATTTAAAAAAAGTGAAGAAAAGTGAGAAAGAAAGAGAGAGAAAGTTAATAGAGCGAACAATATCTAGGGTAGAACGATGAATTATGAGGGATCAGAAACAACCTTTACCCAGTTTACAATCTAAGGCTCCATATTTTTCCCCGAAGGGGCACACATTTTTTTTTCTCGCAACTCTAATATTTATATAAGTCGCTACGATCTCAATATAATCGCGCTTTGCGATCCCAACTTATCATAAAAGAATCATGAGCTACTTCTTTACTAACACGCTAAACAAACAAAGTAGTAAAACTAACTTTTTTGTACTGTGTTTTTATTACAAAAAAAACTGGAATTTTTGAAAGAATTAACTCTACACTCGTTTCTAGTATGACATTAATCAACGTTTCAGTTCATTACTTTTTTTAAGAGCGTATAAAAACATATTTATTAATATTATGATAAAATTCTAAACAATCAGAAAATATCAAAATTATAAATTAAAACTTAATTAACAAACAGATTCTTAATTATTTATAGGAATTTCTCAATTTTTTTACTTCGTTTTAAGAAACATTTAAAAATACAAAGCAGTATTATTACTATTGCAATTTTCTTTTTAGAAAATAATATTTTTATCAAAAAAATTACATTACAGAAAACTATAAATTACTTTAATTGGAATGTCTTTTGTCGAAACGTTAATTTGGAGACAGAAGCTATCAGTTAACAAGAAAAATGGATAATAAGATCCTCCAGCGCTTATTCTTTCCGGATCTGAATTGCTTGACCCTGCATATCATGAACGTGAAGGATACACGACACCCCTGTGTAACGAGATACTAGCCGCCGGTACGAGAAGGATGAGAAGGAAGAAGATGATGAAGAAGACCTGTGTTCTGGTTTATAAAAATTGCTGCTGGAACATATCCTTGAAAGTCGAAACCACGAGAATGCCGGCGCCCATATGTCATCACTAACATGTAATTTTTCATTAACACGTTAACAAGAACACGATGGATGATTTATTTCACTCTTTTATTACTTTGTTCTGCCAAATTTCCGTTAAGCAGTATATATATAAATACTTATTAAGACTCTCTAACAAGGCTCCCTCGAAATAACTTAGATCTTAAGTTATAATTACTATATTTAAGAAAGTTTGGTCAAAATTTACGTTTTTTATATAAATAATTATTAATTTAATTACGCTATTGTTATTGCACTAAATTATTGATACTCAAGATACAAAAATTGTTATTGGATGTTATATTTTTCTGTGAAAAAAATTGTTTACCTAATCATCGTACAAATTTACCGAGGATATATCGCATTAAAATGACACCGACAAAAATAAAACGATTGCCTCATCGCGCTCTTTACGTAGCGGCGCATCTTAATAAAAGCGCGTGCACATACGTCCTTCTGTCTCTGAGGTTCCCGGTTCGCGTAGCCATTTAGAAACCAATGAGCTTCTAATGAAGGTGGAGCTTGCGACGGAAATCTCCACCTACTCTTAAAACGCTCTATTTCTCTCCGCTCGTCGTCGACGAGCGATACAGCACCGAACCGAGAGAAGATCGCGGAGAACGAGAGAGGAAGAAAGAGACGGAGGTGGAGAGCCGATGAGGACCTTTAAGTACGTCTTAACTCGGCCAAGTCAGTTGGCATCTCGCTGCCCGAGAGCAAAATGACGCCTTCGTTTTCGAGCGTGATCTCGCGATCGGACAACCTCGATCTACTACGCGTTGTAACATCGCTGTAACTGTCCGACGTGAAAATTATGGACTCCAAAGTTACATCGTTGCATCTGCGCTCAACGCAGGAACATTGAGATCTGTGACGGACGTGTATCGATCCGTTAAGTTTAGAAGTGAATAGAGAAACTTTTGCCAAGTTTGCTTTATAAGATAAAAGTTGGTCCAGCGGAAGTTGGTGAGAAAGCGTGAGCGAAAGTGGGGTAGGAGGAGGATACTAGGTATGTCAGGCAACTTTATGGTTTAAGTTAGGAGGCATAAGATACTAACAAAGCCCCGCAGAAGTTCCGAGAGTAAAATTACCTTGATTGGAAAGCGTCAATCTGAAACTTTAACTGTATCATAAAATTATAAAATTGATAACTTCTATTCTGCTGTAATAATGGGAGAATAAATCAATTTTTAAACATAGATTTTCCTGGGTATTTTCGTAAATATATGAAATTAATTATTAAGAATTAACAATATAGAATGTGACATTATCATTACTCCGAAACCATAGTCATTTTCTTAGGTTCTCTTTGTTTTTACAAATTTCGTAAATTTATGTGATTTTATCAATACCTTCTTGACATAAGAATTAGCGAACGATAAAAGATAAGAAATATTTAAAATATTTCTGTGATCGATAATCAAAACTAAGGTCAAATCGTAATCGTCATCGCGAGATAAAATGTCAATTGGCGGGTGCCACAGTTTAAGGGTTAATAAGTTTAATCGACACTCGATAAAAATCGCCTCAGCTAGGCCATTGGTGACCTAGCATAAGATTCAAGTACATAAAAAATGTACTTTTAAATTAATTATTGCTAATTACTTGATAATTATATAATTATAATTATATAATTATAAATCTTATAATTTATTCTAAAATAAATTAAATATAAATATATTAAAATTATTTATATGCATTTATAAATATTATATTTAATTGTTTATATGTATTTTTACTTATATATTTTTTTTCTAGGTAAGCTGCATAATTATTTAATCAATAATATAAGGGCCAAGAAAATAGAATGATAAAAGACAATTGTAAACTTCTATCAACACGAATAAGATTTAATAAAGAGCAAATATCTATGCTTTAATAATAACCGGAAATTTTATCAGTCAAGAAAAATCATCGCTTTGAATTATTTAATATGCAGTGAAAAAAATTTAGGATTCCGAATGCGAACTCGATAATGATTTGACATGAATTGTAATTGAATTGGGACATACACAAGTTTTGACCACAGGTTTTAATATTTGTGTTTGTTGAATGTATTCAACATTAACATATTTTTTGACGGTGAGAAAATCGTGATAAACTAATTCCATTTGAAAGTACAACGAAATGCATGACGAATCGGAAATTAGTCAGACGTCTATTAACAAGTAGAATTACCATGATAAATGTATCAAAGCATGCATAACAAAGATAATTCATAAGATGATGGTGAGATAATTCGATTGCGGAAATCTAGCAGTTGAGATTTTAGCAGAGATAAGTTTAGCATTATCAATAATTAATTAAAAAA